CCGGTCCGCTGCAGCTAGGGGTCGGCGTCCCCGGGTCTCCGGGGTGGGGGTGGGGGTGGGGGTGGGGTCCCCCCCCCCGAATCCAGAGACGTTCCCTGCCCCGGGCCGCGCAGTCCTGGCTCTGCAAGCTGGATGCCCCCTCCTGCCTCCCTCCCCCGGCGCCTGCCAGTCCCGCGGGAAGCGACCGCCCCAGGCCCGCGACCCGCGCTGGGTCCCCTCTCCGCTCTCGCACGACGGCCGCCAGGTGGCGCCAAAAGGAGCCTCTTCGGGCCTCGGAGACCGGGATGGGGCGCGGGGTGCGGCGATTAACCTCACCACGGCCTGTTCCCACCGTTTTCACTTTCCGCCCTTCGCTCTTTACGCACCCCAAATACCCCGCGTGGACACCGAGGTTCCCTACATCCGGCTTTCAACGTCCTGGCCCCACTGGTGGAGAGCTCCCCATGGTTCCAAACCACGTCCCCAGTTCCACTCCCTAAAGAGCAGGCATAGGGCTGTGGGTTTGGGTAAGGGGCAGAACTCCGAGGCAGGTTTCTGAGCGCAGGCGTCTCACCTGACTTTTCAAATCATGAGGCCCTGAGGAGGTCAGGGACCACGTTAGTTGTGAGCTAGTGATACCTTACGTGACTCGGAAGGTTAAAGGACAAGGCACGGTTCGTGGGGTCGAGCCTCGCGATGGGCTCTGAGCTGGCAGCGTGGAGCCTGCTTGGGAGTCTCTCTCCCCCTCTCTCCCTGTTCCTCCCCTGCTCGTGCTCGCTCGCTCTCTCCCTCTCTGTCTCTCAAAATAAATAACAAATAAACATTAAAGAAGGAGAGAATGTCTAATCAGAGGAATCTGCGAGTCTGCATGGAGTCCTAGTGCATGCAGTTCCTGGGCCTGCATAGTCCGTGCGGCTAGGGTTCTATGGCCGCAAGAGGATCTGAGAGATGTTCTGAGGGGCCACAGGTGTGTCCTCAGCCTGAGGTTTGTCCCAGGATTGCGAGGATGGAGGAGGCCGTGCAGATTGTGTCCCATCTCAGACAGTCTTTAAATTAGCAAGGAGCCACCTGAGAGAGCCAGGATAGAGGATCCACATGGCAGTGGAGTCAACCTTGGCCTGCAGGTCTTGATTCCTGGGTTCTCGCCCAGTGCTCTGCTGTCAGGGAGACTTCCGGGAAGTCCCACTCCTCGTCTGGGCCTCAGTCTCCCCATGTGTAAAATGGTGGATTGGACTTGAGTGTCCATCGGAATCACGAGGACCACCAGAGGGACTGATCCATCTGGGGTTGGGTGGCGTCCTTAACGTGTGCGGTTTTAGTCAGTCGTTAGGACAGTCCCGTGAGGGTGGTCTGAGGCTCACATGAGGAGCATTCTGGACCAGGTGTCCCCGCAGTCAGTCCAAACTGACCTTTTGAGGACCAGCAGCCTGTGTGGGTCCGAAGAAGGTGCTGCTGGACAGTCAACAGGTACATGGGCTAACAGGGACGCCCTTGGCCACAAAGGGAGACGGTCACAGATTTGAGCCTGTTCTTAAAAATGGATAGAAATTTCAGGAACGTTCCTCTTTTACCTTGAGCTTCTCCCTAACCTTTAACACAGGGACCTCACCTATCCAGCCACGACACCTTTCCCTATATGGTTCGACATAGTAACCTCCCCCGCATCCTCTCTGACCCCACCCTCCACAGCTGTCACCACAAGGGTGTCCTTGATTCTCCCATGGAAGAATCTGTTCATCCAGGAATCAGCCTTGCATCGACCACCAGTCACACACACTGCACTTTGGTTTATCGTGCATTGGCCAGAACTTAATGCTAAGGTCATAACTGGCTACGCCAGATGGTCAGAGATGTAGTTTTTGTTCTACGTATTCACCTAAAACTTGTCGGTTCTAATACTAAGGGAGGAAAGGGAGCGGGCACTGGGGGATAGCCATCCTCTGCCAAACCCCACGATACCTGCCTTTGCCTCCTTTAGTGTAGGACTGAAACACACTTCTACTTTTTATCTTTTTTTTTTTTAAATTTTTTTTTTCAACGTTTATTTATTTTTGGGACAGAGAGAGACAGAGCATGAACGGGCGAGGGGCAGAGAGAGAGGGAGACACAGAATCGGAAACAGGCTCCAGGCTCTGAGCCGTCAGCCCAGAGCCTGACGCGGGGCTCGAACTCCCGGACCGCGAGATCGTGACCTGGCTGAAGTCGGACGCTTAACCGACTGCGCCACCCAGGCGCCCCCACACTTCTACTTTTTAAAAAATGTTTATTTATTTGTGAGAGGGGGAGGGGCAGAGAGGGAGGCGGACAGAGGATTGGAAGTAGACTCTGCTGACGGCCAAGAGCCCGACTCGGGGCTCGAACCCACAAACCACGAGGTAGTGACCTGAGCCGAAGTCGACGCTTAACCGACTGAGCCACCCAGGCATCCCTGAAACACACTTCTAAAATGCAATTTGCAACAACGTGGATGGAACTAGAATGTATTATGCTAAGCGAAATAAGTCAGAGAAAGATAGCATATGATTTCACTCGTGGAATTTAAGAAACACAAGAGGAACATAGGGGTAGGGAAGGAAAAATAAGGTAAAACAGAGAGGGGGCAAACCATTAAGAGACTCTGAAATACAGAGAAGGAACTGAGGGTTGCTGGAGGGGAGGTGGGGGGGGCATGGGCTAAATGGGTGATGAGTATTAAGGAAGGCACTTGTCGGGATGAACACTGTGTGTTGTTATACGCAAGTGATAAATCACTAAATTCTACTCCTGAAAGCATTATTACACTATGTATTAATTAACTTGGATTTAAATAAAAATTTTAAAAAAGGAAAACAAAAAAGGGCTCAACTCTGGCATGACCCCCAACATCTTCTGTCATTCCACCGCACATCTTCCCACCGCACTCTGATTTTGTGGGCCGTGACCCCCTGCTCCAGCTGCTTTCCCACGGAAACGACTGTTTCCCACGCCATCCGCTGGAGGGCGCTGGTCGGGAGGCTGAGGCCCTGCTGCTGCTGCTGCTGCTGCTGCTGCTGCTGCTGCTGCTGCTGGTGGCGTTGAGCGTCTTCGTCGCGAGCTTCCAGAGAAGGGGCGGCCAAGGCGAGAGCGCGCGGGAGGGGGGGGGGAGCGGCAAAGGGGTCCCAGACAGGCGGCGGCCCGGCTCTGGCGACGCAGCGCCCAGACCCGGGTCCTCCCACCCTCCCCGCCTGCAGAGCAAGGCCGGGGTTGTTGGTCCCGGATGTCCTCAGGGGCTGCCCCCTCTTAAGGCTGGGGGGCGCCAGATGAGGCCACTGCCCCATCCCCATTCAGCGGGGTCCTTGACCTGAAGAGTGGGGGCATGAGCCTCGCAAGATACTTTCCTCCCCTCGCTCCACCCCATCATGTGACCCCTTCTGAAAACTGGCCTAAAATGCATACTTGATCCAAGTTACACGAGTTCACATGATTCCTGCTCAGAATCGCCCATCCACCTTATTTGTACCTTTTTCCTCTTTTGCCAGTTTTGAGCATTTCA